CTTTCGCTACTGTTGAGATAATTCAGCAGTGCTTCTTTTTTGTTTAGTTTCTTTTTGGGGGGAGGGGGGAGTTAACACCCCAAAACCAACATATAATTATGAGAGACACTGTAGTGGAGGGCTCCAAAAATTTTGACCATCTGAGGTTTTTTTAACCTACACCTAAATCTGGGCAGCAACGGCCGGGATTCGATTCCGCGACCTGCAGGATAGTGCAACTGTTAGAATTTGAGATTTCATTAAGAATTTCGCGAGTCATCAACAGACCACTACACCATGCACAATAAAACCGAAAAATGCCCAGAAAATCTGCTTGAAGACCAATGAGGTGCTACTAAATCGCTTGACACTTGTTCTGGACAATTAAGCAGCAATGATGGAACTCAGATGTATACACTGCTATTATAGTTCCCTGAATGTTGTTATAGCCTTTGCCAAAAAGTATATGCCATAACACAAGTGAAGATGCAGGAACTGTTACTTGGCTAGATGAGTTATAAGTGATACAAAAGTTCTCTGAGCAGGAATAAGTGCCTCAGACGGGCAGGCTGACATTTCGATAGGTGGACCTATTTCTATCAAAAGTGCCTTATTATCACTGACAACATAGTTCTGAAAGGGCCACTCGCGTCATATGGTACTTCTGATCTGAAAGTGCAAAACGATGATTCCAAAAAGCAGTGCGGCATTGTCAGCTAGAGTGATGGAAGCTAGGCTCATTTCAGACTAGAACCTCGGCGATCAGCCATTGATGGAAGTCGCATATTCTAGGGCCTTCACGATTGCTAAACTGAGTTCTGGGTCGTAACCACACTTCCGCATGGTTCTTCGTTTTGAGCGTGACGCTGGAAAGCACATTTGCCACATTTTCATGGTAGCTACAGCCATGAAAATCATTGTACAGCTGCTCCGCTTTTTCGAAAGCAGCAGTCATTTCTAGGAACACCATCTTGTCAGTGCATCCTTAATAATCAAGGCCTTAATGAAACGCAAGCACCAATGTGCAAACTGAAGCTAGTGCTGGTTGATGGTGCCAGCAAGCATGGCGAACAGTCTGACAGTGTGCTTGTCTTTTCTGCCAAGCTTGAATCCATTTCACTTACACTCCACTGCGGCACAGACCAACCAGACTGAGTCTATTGAGGACTGTTTCAGTGGGAATAAAAACTAACAATATGATGAGAGTGCACGAACTCACTCAGTGGAAGTGGCTGGCAGAGAAGAGAACGACATAATGAGCATCCAGCACTTGCGGGAAAACCTCTAAGCTACGGCACGGAAGCACATGCAGTCATTGAACGTTGTGGGGTACAGGACCACAAAAAAGGACGATGCACTGTAGACGAAGGGCACAGATGCCACTGCCTACATCACAACTTGAACCCTGGACGCCGTTGTCCTTCAGCCATGCATAGAGTCGATGCCTCTTCAAAGAAACTTTGGCCTATTTTAGAGTACTTGTTCTGTGTGGCCATGGTGTTGTTGCTGTACATTAGAGTCCCCACATCGGATCGTGCAGGATTTCATGACAAAGGGCAAGACAAAAATAATTCGTCCCTCGCCCATCACACACACAGCGCAACCAGCCCACGTAGAACAGAAAAGAGAAAGCGCACAAATGAGCGTGCAGAAAGCAGTAAATGCATGCATATAAAAAACAAAAGCTGATTCCGGACGAACAGGCTTCATACGTAGATGATACTGTAATAAAAATCTGCTTAATACTTTCATAAAGAATATAAGCACGTAGAAAAACAAAAAGCACATCAACAAGGTGTATCAGACATGCGCCAGCGCATTCCATATAGGCTATAACAATTCTTGCAGACTATAATAAAGTTATAGTGGAGTGACCTGCCTTACAGAGACAAAAAAAGCCTAATCAGCCACAACAGACCGATCAAACTCTCGAACAGAACCCTGAAATTATTTACTATATAACACTTCAGATTTCAAATCAATAGTATACCTCTCGCTTTCATCTCTCTGCTGCCACTGGTTCCAAAAGTCTAAAGCCACAGCAGAAATACCGTAAAAAGCTCGACATCACCGGTCAGTGATCCTTCTTCATCTAACCTGACTAATGTAGTGCAGTGGTAAAAAACTAGAGTGCCAAGATAAAATGATAAAAGAACCCTACAGCCACAAGCATGTTGAGAAGTCTGCGCCATGAAGCCCTGTTCGGTTAATTCCAGCATAGCATGATCCTGGAATTGACGGAGCAACTCTAGCTGAAAAGCAATTGCTGTCTACCAAGTTGCATCAATTTTACCTGTACTGCAACAGATGCTGGACAAGTTGATGCCAACTTTGACGCCGAAATATCAACATGTGCTTGTGCCTTTGTACATCAAATATTTCATACCTGCACACAAATAAAACACACATAGAAAAAGGAAGATCCATGATGATGTGACAAGTGGACAAGGCTATGACAGGACCTAAAATCCCTCTTCGGCTAATCTAGATACCACCTCATGGTCCTCCCAAAAGGGCCCTGCAACACTTTATCAGCATGGTCAAAAATTGCTGGCTAACAGAGGTTGCTGCTCCTGAAAACATGTAAGCCAAACAGTACAACACTGCATATGGCCTGGCATTTACAATTCATTCTCAAAATCAGCTGCACAGCCATTGGCTGATTTGAGCATCGTGAGCTGCATAGTTAACATGGATGCTGCAGGATAGGGCGACAGTGTCAGCGTGCGTACCTGTGAATACACTTAAAGTAAGCTATGCGTTCAAAGAAAAAAGGAAATAGAGTGCTTCAAGGTCACAACACGCACTCATGAACTATGGTAGCTGCCTGATCCTTTATCATTCCTCCACTCCGAAACAGCTTTCAGCGAGCTCACTGAAAATTGAAAGCGCTTGAACCTTTCGACAAGTCCCTGGAACTGCGTGGGCTCTTACTTTACAGATTCCAAAATTTTTGCAGCAGTCAATTCATAAGGCAATAAACACCTTTAATGAATTCATTCGACAATTATGTGCTAAAGTGTGTCAGGGCCCCTTCAAAACTACATGCTAAAACGCCAGAAAAGTGCATGACATAGGTGAGAAAGACTTAGAGAAATGCGAGTGAGAGCCCAAAAACTGTCTATCTTTGTATACTAGCACCGGTGTATGTTGTGTAGGAAAAGCTGCCCACATACCTGCTGAAGAGACAAGGAGAGCAGCCATTGCATACAGGCCCGGGCGCCTGACTAGACAGCGTTTTACAAAAAGAAACTCGCACAGTGGCCCTTTCCTGCAGTGTGGCTATGGAAGGTGTTCAGTCCCAAAATAATCCTTTGGTAGACATAGGAAACAATGCGCAGCTGTTTCTATCAAAGGTGTGCAATCCTAAAGCGACCGCAAACATGGTAAGCCATTATTTTTTTCTACATCGTGTTGATGCGCAGCCCTCATTCAGAGCCACCCCGAAGGAAAATGTAAGGTAGCGCCTGAGCGACACTTTGTTCTCATTATTGCAATAGAATAAAAAATGACATTTCAGACAGGGCATTGTAAAGAATATGATGGACCTGACACTGCCTTCACTTCAATTTTTACTGAAGCACTTTTCGATACTATTCAAATAGTGTGCAAATGAAGCAGAAAGACAACATAGGGGCTATAATAATACAGGTGGCACGGTGAAATTTTTCAGATTAGTTTGGATCAACTAGGGAACACCAGTTCATAACACTCGAGCATCATGTCACAATTGGAGTGATATGTTAATAAAACGCTCCCGAAGGGAGCGAGAATTGGAGCTGTTTAAAGGGACACTGAAGTGAAAACAATGATTTTGTTTATGATTGGTAAACTGTACTCTGAGAAGTCAAATGTCACAAGTTCCACGATTATAAGTCCATTATCAGAGCACAAATTAAGGCGCAAGTTTGATTTTCAAAGTATCGCGTCCAAACCTCCGCACGTGACGTCACGAGTTTCGGAATGTATTTTTCATATTTCCACGACGTGGGCTCAATGAAATTTTTAAGAACTTCGTATGTCAGGTCTATGGCACTCACAAAGAACAATGTACTTCATTTTGAGCAATTATAAACTATAGTGGACTCGGTAAACACTGCAATTTTGATGACGTCACGGTGTTTGGTGCCGAAATCACAAGGTGGCATCGCCACCCGCATTTTCTTTTCGTACATTTTTTCGCTCACTAAATGCAGCCTCGCAATATAAGATGTGTTTTTGGGACTGTGAAGTTGTACTTATCACACAAAAAATCTTTTAATCTTTAGTGTCCTGTTAAGCTTTTCGTTGCATTCGGTAATGAACAGAAATTATCATCATAAACTAGCACGCACTTGCTTCATTTTCTCCATCCTCCACTTCTCTCCCACATGTGTGTCGATTTGTATAGTGTAGAATGCACAACTTTGATGGGCAAGAGATCACACTAATTAAGCCAAGCCGTGGTAATTAAGGCGAGACATCAGGATATTTTTTTTTGATGGAGGCCCTCTTGCTAAAGGATTGCCAACCTATTTTTTTTATATCTTTGGTAAAATGCCCCCTGTCACCCAAATTTTGATGGCAGGAAGGGGGGGGGAGAGCTAGGGAACTCTCATTGTCTATTGGCGTGCAGGACATACCAACACCTAGCCACTTGGACCAAGAATAATTATGCGTAGCCTAAAATAGTTTACTAATCAGCTCAGCCTTAGTATAATAAGATTTAACTATGCATTAATCAATATACCCCTCCTCATTAAGATGGGACAGTTTAGGCCGAAGCTAATTTAGGCTCGTGCTGATCAGAGAAGCTGTACAGTCAATAAGTTGATCCACTGGTTCTCTCTCCAATTCGAAAGCGAGATACAGGTGGAAATAACTGCTCAGACGTTAACCAGAAGTATGCCGGACTTGCTACCTACAATAGGAAAGGTTGCAAAATGCAAGCGAGAATTGTACAGTTGGAATGACAAATTGGAATGCTCTCATTGTGCATGACACTAGAAGCATGCACTGGGCCCACAGGGAGAAATCAATGCTTCCAACTGCAAGTTGCTTGTCGTGAATGGGGTGCTTTCAGACAACTTAGAGAGAATATTTATGCACATGCCTTCTGCTTGCCTATTTGCTTATCAGTGTACAGTTGACTCCCGATAATCGAAGTCAGTAATTCGAAGTGGAATTTTCGGTTAATTAGAAGTCAACAACTGGTCCAGTCAATTTTGCACGCACGCGTATAGGAAAAAATACTCGATAATTCGAAGTTACAAGCCCATACTGTTGGTTAATCAGAATTCATTTGAAAGCCTCGAAGCAAACAAAATTTCTCAATAAGATTGAGAATTTTCATGTACTAATGTACTAAGACTGCCAGGACAGCTGTCGGACCGTGCTGTGTTTGTCATCCCCACTGCCTGAAGCTCCACGGTTCATGAAGCGGTCCATCTTGTTTAGTCAACACTGAGGCATCGCGTGGATTGCATTGGCTAACTAGTGATGTGTCGAGTGCTTCAGTCGTGCGCGCGCTGGTTTGAAGTCTGGTTGAAGTTAGAACAGTGCAACTGGACACTGGCGGAAAAGAGTGCACAAACACACACACAGCGCTGCGTGTGTTTTAGTGTGTTCCACTCCGCCTGCATCCAGTTGCGCTGTTCAAACAAAGCGCGATACACCAAATAGCCCGCCAAGGCTGTGTTGCTTGATTTCGCACGTGCTTCCACAGCCGATTTCGAGTGTTCTGGTGGCGACATTGGATAATGGAAACTCGCGGTCCCTACCTAACGCTTGACTTGACGACCAAAGTCGAAAGCCTTGAAAAAAAGTTGACCAGGGAAGCACTGCCAAGCAAGATATCGCACAAGGTATGGCGTTAAGCCTAACTCGCTCTCAGATTTCATCAAGTGCAAATAGGTGATGTCGACGATGGTAGTTTTGGAGCTCATATTAGTGATGACTGTTTTGAAAAATTCGTTGACATGAACAGCAACGTCCACACATGCTGTTAGCTGTTGAACACAAAAATTGTGCAGATGGTTCGGCTAGTGGACGACGACGTAGAAACGAGCCGCCATCAAGGTCTACGCGCTGCTGTGGGGTCTTGTTCTTGCGCTACGGTTTTTATATTTTGTTGACAATGCTGAAGAAGCACTTGGACATGTGTAGTGCTTGGAAAACTTGCTAGCCACAGCCAGGTTGGGCAGGAGAAGATGACAAACTGTTTTCTTAGAGAACTGTCATGTTTGAAGCAATAAAAGTGCAGTTTTTCATGCACTTTGCTTAATCAGAAGTTTCTTGCGATACCCGAGAACTTCATATTAACGGGAGTCGACTGTACTATATTATGTGCAGCAGTTGCTTCGTGATAGTACCCCACGAAGCTGATAAGAACTATTAAGTAAACAATCTGGTATTCCTGCCACAACGAACGAGAACCGATGCTGCCATTCACCAAGGCAACATTGCCAAAGTTAACTTGAAACCTCATCATTGCTATGTCCAAACAACGGTAGGAAGGGGAAGGTGGAAGCTTGCAATGAAAAATCCGTAAACAGGGGTGGTGTCGCGGCGTCGTTTCGACAAGCGAACATGTCTTCCTTGAGGCTAGAACAGAACTGTTCTGTTCTAGCCTCAAGGAAGACATGTGCGCTAGTGAAAACGTTGGCTCAACACAACCTCTGTTTAGGGATTTAACATCAATGCTATGTGCCTCATAATCATATCTTGATGCTGACATGTAAAACTATATACAGCTCTATTTTTTAAAACCAAACTGACCAGGCCATTTGGTCCTTATAAGAAGGCAGCTTTCAGAATCCTTGCCAAATATTTTCTTTGTATAAGAAATGTACCCTTTAGCTACAAATTAGTTAAATGTGCATCATTAAACATAACCCTCGATTCTTCAAAAGCAATTGTGTCTTCAAAGAAACTAGTTAAAAACACTATGAAGAAATCTATTACATTAATAACCGTGTGTGTAAATGTGTTGAAAATATTGCTCCTTGTAATTAACACACATTCAAGTTTCACATAGCACTTGTAGGAAGAAAAGACTTCATCATGAAAGTATTGAATGATTAAAGGCTAAAAAAGTCCCTGGAGATAAATGGGAAAAATCTCATGTACCTCAGCATCAGAGTGGAAGCAAGGCATCCTGACAACAAGTAGCAAGAGTCTACAAAACAATAGAAAGCTTGGAGAGTTGGCACACTTGCAGAAGGAAAGAGGAATGTAGGGTAAGAAAAACATAAGGCAAACTCATTTTCTTACTGGTTTTCACTTTTTTCATTTCTTTCATTTGTTTAAAGCATCTTCTTGAGAAAGCCAATGCACATGACGGAAGATGTTCTGAAGAAATATCTAGGAGCAGCGAGGGCTTAGTGTACCCACACTGTGGAATTAAATGACTGAAAAATGGTCCTCACCAAAAACCAAAGCAGGTGACTAGAACCTGTGCTTGCCATAACGTAAGGCCTCAAGCCTTTAAACTCGCGCTATAAAAATGACAACAAATCTTAAGTGTTTGTTGAGAGTGGTGTCCCCTAGCAACTCGTCATACTATAACAGAGCTATCAGAATGGTTTGCCATCGAAACACCGAAAGCTCACTTTACTTGGACAGAAAAGTTGACAGAAACGGAAGTGTGACAGCAGAGTAGACTGATATGTTGTGGCGATGATTGTACTTATGGGCCTGGAATGTATGCCAAACGCTCAGTAATACAGGGGTTTGCACAAATGAAGCAAGCCGAATTGTACAGCAACGTTGGTGCATAATGAAGTGCCACAAAATTTAAAGTATGCTTCCGGTGGGCTGATTTTTGGCATGATGTAGTGAGATCAGAATCAGAAGGGTCTCAATGTTCGATGTACCAACGCCCAACTTCTCATTATGCTACCATGAGCGTCTACTAATATATTATACAAGCAAAAGTAAATATGCACGTGCAACACTAAAATAGACAGATACACTGTGCTTAAAGTAATCAACAACAACGAAAACAAATCTATCTTTCTTTTATAGAAGACAGAAGTATTAAGTTTGGGTTGATGACATTATGGTCCTTACAATGTTACAACATAAGCACTTCACCCGTGAGTACCGGAGGCTCTGCTGCACGAACTATTCATTTTATGATAGGCCCCATTTTAATATGTGAACGCGAAAACTGTTCATACAATGTTAGACTAAAAAATAAAGCGATATTTTAAACACTGTACAAAACAAGTGTACTTAATCCAAGGCAACCTCTCCTTAATGTGAACGCTACCAAACCAATGGCTGCAAGTACTTAAAACTCCCTTCCTTAAAGCCACACTGCAGGAAAACTATAAGACACTGCATGCATTACCCCGGGACAAACGCTAGCTTGAATCTTTGGCGACGGTGGTCAGGAGCTAATGGCTGCCCTGCGGCAATTGAACAGCCACTTGATCACCCTGGCGTTCTTCTCCACAATGGACGTCTCAGCCGGACCGTGGTCTACCAGGTCTCGGTTGCGCAGGCCCGCACCGCCTTCAGCACATCCAAAGCCGCCACCGACCGAAGACGTGTCGCTGCCGGCCAGGCTGCACGACCTACCCACCGAGTCCGCAGAGCTGATGCTGTCGAAGTAGCGCGACGATCCGGACCCCGTTGACGGCGAGAGGACGCTGTGCCACGTGCTTGCATCCAAGCCCAGGGTGTCAAAGAAGCGGTCGGGGAGTGACCGCTGCACGTCCCGAACTACCGGCCCCAAATCCGGCTGGCTACGGTGTGCCACGTCGGACTTGGACCGTAGAACGGGCCGCCGAGAAGAAGGGACCACCTCTCCCCTAGACTGCAGTTTCGGCTCGGAAGGTCGAGGGGCCGGAACGAGAGGCTACGGCCCACGACCGTCTCGGACGAAGGCCGGGGCTTTCGGCAATAGCGGTCTCTGCTGTAAACCGGAGACGGCTCACCATACAGATCGACCGTCGCTCGAAGCTCCGTGCTGGCACGCCGTGTTCGGGAAGGTGAGAGATCGGGTAGGCTCTTGTGTACCACGGTTAGCCCACATGATTGAGTGAGAGATGGCGGAGTGTCTCCAGCAATGAGCCGCCTCAGCTGGTGCTGGACGCCTTGGTCAGTTCTGAAATGGATATCTTGTCAACTTAGTGATCACCAACTTTCAATTTGCTTCATGAATTGCATAGCTTGCCATCTTTTATAAAACTGTCCAGCGCTAACTACAGCAATGCTACACAGTTGACCCTTGTGACACGCTGAATTGCACATGAAAAAAGACACACTGAAGGCACAGGTAGGACACACACGATCGTGATTCGTGTGCAATTCAGCGCGTCGCAACTGTCATCTAGTGAACAACCAACTTGCCCCTACGCTGGCCCTAATGCTACACAGCTCCTGCTATCAATTCTGCTTGATGAGATTTTCAGTATTGCATGAAAAAGTTGAGCTAGTTAGCAAGTACTATTCATCATACAAGATGGTGCATGTGCAAACAGACACAGGAGACGAGAACAAGACAACACAAACATAGACTATCAACTAAATCTTTCTTTCATGAGGACCTTCAGGAGCAACAGTTTTATGTGCTATACAAGTTCAACTAAAAGAAGTGGTAGATAAATCTTACAATTAACAAGTGCACTCCAGCTGTAAATGAGATGACCACGACACATGAGTGGGCACCATGGCTTTCAGAAATGCAGAAACAGTGAAACAAGCACAGTAAACTTTTCATTCATGTTTTCATCTGGGAATGACATTTGCGCATCAAGCACACACAGACAAGTACCATAAATAATAAGAAAAACAAACGGGTCGAATATTGAATCGAAGGTTTCTTTCTGTTCGCATTATGGGATAGCTTGTGAATAAAATGGGTATAATAATGCCTATGATGTGATGCTGAAGCTGATTCATAGACCTATTTAGGACCTGTTATGCTAGCAACAAAAATTCTGCTCACAAAATAGAAAAGCGCCACAGATGAGATGTCTGACGATCATATATAAGTATGAAGGGATGTTTCGTGTACACTTCAATCTGGTAGATGATAACGGTCTCAAAGCTACATCCTTAATATACTGTAAATAAGAACCTTAACATTGATTAGAAATTAAGAACCTTAACATTGATTAGATTTTGCTTTATGCTATCAGGTTTGTGATTCTTTGTCACACACCTGCAGTCGAGATTACACAAGTCGTGAACTGAAATTAATAGCACAAACATACAAGACAATCCACATAGAAAAATACATGACACACACAGGCGCCAACTATCAACTGCTTTCCCAAGGCAGCTTTCCCTTCTGTGTGTTTGTGTTGTCAATTTTATTTCAGGAATATGTACCAACTAAGCCCAAACGAAGTTTTATTGAAGGAACACACATTGTTCTTGCATGAGTTTGGGAAATGCATTCTATGGGTGAATGCTGTAGGCTGTGAATGTCATTCACCATGTCCATGTAGCAACAACAACACTGGTCTTAACACCTAGTCACACCCACAGTGAATAACATGACACGTTGAGTGTGAAAAGGGGCTTAATGGCCTCAATTAGGAATACAGGGGAATCGCGACGTGTTTTTCATGGAAACCGCAAAATGAAGCGTTTTATGTAAAAATAGTATCAATCAAAGAGATTGGCTGGTGGGAGATAAAAATGAAACTTATTAACCTGAAAAACGTATCAAGAACCATAACAAGTATTCACTGTAGGGAGACACTGGGAGGTTTGGGACAGTTGAAGGAATGGGACAGTGCGTTCATCTCTCTTGCATTTACGTGAAAGACAGACAACTACTGAGTAGATGGTGCTGACATACCAACTGCGTGGCTGAAAAGATTGGAATCTACGACGAATGGAGCTTTCTGTAACTGCTAATCGCATTTTTCATGCACCCAAAGTAAGTTCTCTCAAGTAAGTTCTCTCACTACCTGATTTGTAATGCTCTTAAATTTAAACAGCTTTCTCGACATTAATATAAATTTTTCTTTGAAAACATGCATAAGTGCTGCACTTTTGGAAAGAAAAGGTTTAGGCATTATGACTGAACTTTACCCACTGAATTTTTTACTTTGGGAAACATAGTTGGGGAGGAATGGTACAGTTGAATTGAGGAACAAACGGAAACAGTGTCTCCTTACTCTTGATCCTACACTCACACCGCATCAACAGCACAAAAAAAAAGAAGACAGAAGTCCTTACAAGTACACTGGGGAAGCATACAAATGAATTCACAGATCTCAGCAAAACAGTAAAAAAAAAGTGCAATACAGTCAAAACTGCTGCCACAGCCAATCCAAAAATGAAATGGCACTTGCTGAAGGATTTCTGTTCTCCAAGTGAAGACTTACTTACTGTTGCCTTTGACGAGTCTGACAAAAACATGCCAGGTTTTGATAATGACTGGTATGACATTTGTGAGATCAATTGGTCAATCAATATCTTCAAGTGACAAAAGGTGAGTTTTTTTGCCATTTTTTAAGATTTTGAAAAATTGGCATTCATTACATTGCTAAAGTCGTGAACTGCAATAACATCTTAACATCAGTACGCTGCTCCAAAAAAACAGCGTACTGACACCGAGATGTCAATAACAGAGCTCTCAATTCTACTTTCCTCTTAATCAATATATGGGGACTTCACCTATTATGAAAATTGCGATGAAGCTGCCAGTGTTCAAGACTATCGGTGCGGCAAAGTTTGAAGGAACTCAGTTTAATGTTTGATGTTGAAATATTAGCTTATAATGGCAGCTGAAGACACGTCCCACTTCTCTCAAGTGATATCCTACTCCAACCACAGAAGCGGCTTTGAGACAGATTTTACACAGATTTTAGCCATCACAAGCTATTTCTCTACAGCTCTAGCAGAAGTCGCAGGAACCAGTGCATCGCAAAAGTCCTGCAGCTTTATTATAGTATCTGTTATAGTATTATGAATAAAAAATCTTACTGTGTTCAAGTACAACAAAACTAAAGATACAATTATAAAAAGCGTCCCAATCCTCCCGACTCTCCCCAATACACTCTTTGCAAGTTCTGTTCGCCCTGGGTGACTGACACTTGCCGTTTTCAGTGAAAGTTGTTTCATCGCCTCTCTTATACTATGAACATTCTCCACCACAAGAAACACAAACAAATGAAGGCAGCACACCACATATGAGTGCTACATAGTGCATGTGCGTCGTCTCCAGTCTTCTTTTTCGAGTGTATTTCCAGTGTTACAAGTCATTTTCGACGTACAGCCAACATAGCCAAATTACTACGATTCTAAACTCCATCTCAGGAGAGGTTGTTTGTCAGGCTCTGGCCTGTCTCACCTGGTGGGCCGGAGTAGCCGTCCTCGCCTGCGTCTCTGACAATGCACGGGCGCGCATGGGTGGTGATGGAGCTCGCCGGAGTTTCAGCGACGGTGCTCGCGCAAGCTAGTGCGGCCGGCGGTGAGGCCCTTAGGCGCTCGACGAGCTCATAGGCCGAGGGCGAGCGCGCTAGCAATGGCGGCTCAAACGAGGCTCCTTCGGAACGACGACTGCGCAGCCCCTGGCGGCTGTCCAGCACCCGCTCCGACTTCACATACTGCGCCTTGGTCTCCTCCAGACGCTCCACTGCACTGCGTCGTTGCTCACCTGCAGCCGTCGGGGTTAGCATCATGCACTTGGTGACATTGGGCACATGGCCTGTAGTCGTACATTTTATGTATTACAGAACTGCTACCCTCTAGGTGAAGCGTCAAGCAGGAGTGGATAGTATCAAGTACAAAAAAAACTTCAGACATCATAGCAGTTCAAAATGAAACAATCATGTTGTATGAATCAACAGGAAAAACCAAAAAAAAAAGGGTGCTCCTGGAAAGCAAGATACAAAGCATAGGCACGTTTAGGCATAAAACTATTGATGAATAAATGAAAATTGTCACGTGAAGAAGGAAATGAAGACACAACAGACATTTCCCATCCTCTTACATGGGTAAAAAAAAAAAAAAGACTCCTTCAAAAGCAAAATATGTGCAATGTATATGAGCAACTTCTGAAACCATGATGGCTATAATTAATTGTCAAAGTTATTACAATCAATATCATAATAAAAAGCAATTTTTCATTGTAAGAAAAAACTATGCAATGCAAAAAAAAACAACTTGGTGTTCAAGTTTATTGCTGAAAAATATCATACTAAGCACACTCAGGTTAGAATGATGATATTAATTATATCTGGGGCTTTATGTGGCAAAACCATGACATGAGTATGAGGCAGGTCGTAGTGAAAGGCTCTGAAAATTTTAAGCATTGTTTGTTCCTCAGACCTCAGAACTCCTCAGACCCAAGAAGGCAATTGAATGAATTTATTTCAAACTTTTTTATTTAGCTCCAGAAAAACTTATTTCGGATCAACACTGAAAGAAAACTGGTGAAATTTAATAAGTTTTACGAACAGAGTTTGTTTAGTCAAATTTAATTAGTTTATACAGCTGTAAACTGAAATTCAGAACACAGATTATGCACAAACATTACTACAATTATATTCAGCAGTGCTGTCACACATGCTGGGTAAAAAAAACTACAGAAAATTCTATTCACGAGCCATGAGGACGAAGAAGGTGATGTTTCTAGGGAATGCCACTTTCAAGTTTGGCGTGCATCACAGATAACCAACATGGAGCGCCTCCCGTTGAGCTAAGGTAAAGTGACGCCTTGCACGCGTGGAAGTGAAGTTCCAGGTAAAAAACATTTGCTTCAGATTTAACTACACTTGCTCGAAGCAATGGCCCCAATTAGGGTCACAGGGACTGAAGAGTACTGCACACTACCATTTCAGAGCACACAAGCCTCCAGAATTTTGCCTTTTTCTAAATGTGACAGCCACAGCCCGGATGGAATGACTCTCGTGTCAGCAGACAAGCCCAGTGACTACTGTACCAATGAGGTGGACAGTGAAGATAGATCGTGACACCAATTTTATCATGTAGATACATTCTTTTTTTGAAACGACATTGATGTTGTGCATTGCAGTATTTCAAATAGTGCTTTTGGGCAGCACGACAGCTGAAAGCTTCATTCTAAGGTGAATGCAACAGCCTGAATGACAACAGCCAGTTCAAAAAGCTGTGTAATTGAACCAGTCAAAAAAAAAAAGGGGGGGGGGGGACCCTTTAGATTCACTTTTAAGAGTTGAACGTGATCACGATATTCTGTTTCTGGTGCGTACTTCAAAATCTAGTGTATGAAATTTTTTGAACTTGCTATGTACCCACTACGTGGCCTTAAGGGTGCAGTAACAAGTGTGCCTTTTGTAGTGTTTGACTGGCTTTAAACTATGAAGTGATTATGATGATCCCATGTCCTGATGCCCGATGGCAATGTGCACTTGTGCCACGCATTATTATGGCGATATTTCATGTTGTATTGCAAAGCATGTACACACGACATGCGTGCTCGTAAAGCATGAGCGTTACTTTCCCTGCATTTCCAAGGAGAGGAAGTTATTTTCAGTGTATTGACAAGAAGAGGCAAGGCTGCCTGGTAGAACACCCGCTTTCCCAAAAACTACCTGGGTTCGATCCTCAGTCAGACCCAGAATTTTTATTATTAATTTTATTTGCATCTTTCTGAATTTTTCAGTCAAACAATGATGATTTTTCACTCAGAAGCAATGAGGCCAAAATTTCTGCAAGACAAGCTCTTTAACGCTATCGCATTAAAAAAAAAAGTGTGTGCACACGTGCACACACACAGTTGAACCCACTTATCACAATACTCAAGTGCCACAAAATTTTCATTGTTATAACCAATAATTTACTATAAACGGGTTAGACGGAAAATAGCAATATAGGGGGTTGGCAGGCTGTTGTGAGAAACAAAATCGGATGGGAAATGCAAATCGGTGGCAAGGTTGACCGATTTTTCGGACATGTTTGGAAATTCGGACGGTTTCACAGGACCACCACAAGCCACATAGAACCAATGTATGACAATGCGTTGGATGCTGAAACTCTTTGAAGCGCTTACTTTTTACCGCCACAGCTCCCACATCTTAGGTGTATTTCAAAAGCCGGCTTTGCTGCAATGCGCCAATGCCACACAATGAAGCATACCGCAAATCCGAAGGGGCGCTGATATACGTTGGGTTGTGGGTGGGAGTTAAGAAGCATGAACTTCTCGTTTTTTTCCCTCCCATTTCAAGGATTTCGCGTTCCATTACCTTTCGGCACAAACACCCCGTGGGCAGTATTTATTATAACCAATAAAGCAGCACGCTGTAAGCCAGTTTTTTTCACCACAGAAAACATTCCGAAGTTGGTGGCGCGGCACGTTCTCATTGTTATAATCGATATACTGTTAAAACCGGAATCGTTATAAGTGGTTTCGACTGCATTGCTGATTTCTGCATCGTCACTGTGGGGGTACGCTGGCAACATTGTCGTCTATTCTGGACTAGGGAGCACGCAATCAGGGACATTAACTTAAATACTATAGGATGAGATGAAAAGGGTAGCGCGTAATTCTAGGCTCCCGCCAAGTGTATGGTTACATGTCCAAAGCACATCGCCCCGCGCACGCAGTTTCTCTCACGTGACCCTAAAAGGACGAACGAACGAAGTCTGCCAGACCTACAGCACTGCGGTGCCTCACACACCTACTTGGGTGCTAGGCTCGCGTGCTTCCAGATGCGCGATGCGCGCATGGGTTCACGGTCCCTGGCCAACAGGAACGTTTTCTTCTGCACCGTTCTGGGAGTCATTTGCGGCGCAAAAGCGCGCAGGGCGACCCAAAGGCACGCCTCGTTAGGTTCGCCGCGCGGCCTAGTTCGCCCGAAGCACGCCAGGCGATCGACATACATGTGCGCCTAGCCGGCAAACGCTGAAACACGCGGAGGCGAAACAAGCTGTACGGAGTCGTTGATCGGTTAGCGCGCGGATTGTCGCTCCATTAGACAGGTGTGTAAGGGGTCACACGTGCTCGAACGTTATCGTTACTGCTCTCTTCCGGCCCGTTCGGATAGTCCGGAGGCTCGTTTGGGGCGACCGGCGCCGGATAATCGGTCCTTTTCTGCCAACAACAACAACAAAAAGTCATCGTCGAACCCGAGAATGCGCGCGATCGCTGGACGGAGAGCGAAGGTTTTTTTCTCGAGCGGCGCGCGCGATGTACCCAGTTTTACGACTGCTCGTTTTTTGTTCTTCCATAGCTTTTTTTTTTCCTTCTCTCCGAAAAAACTTGCACATTTCTAGTCGCGAAACGCTATAGAGAAGAAAAAAAGAGATAAGCCGTCGCCTCGGTCCAGCGCTCCTGCCGGCCCTCCGCCACGAGGTGGCAGCAAACGCGCTCGCCACGCGTTTGTCGACACTCCGGGAAACGTCAAGCGGGCCAGGGAGAAAGAGAAAGAATACAAATTAAATAAGTACGCCATTTGCACTATATACGAGGAGCCGGCGTGCCTGCTTACTGCCGGCGGAGCGACAATCGCGTGCCGTGAAGCGAGCAAACGCGAGCGCAGCGCAGAAGCGCCGACAGAGCGCGCTCGTAACAATAGTGGAGCAAAAAATAAGGAAAAAAAAAGAGCCCTACCGCGCGGCGATGCAGCTGCCGCGCGCTGAATTTGCGAGAAGGCTCGAAAGTCCGGCAACTCGAAAAGAACGGAGGCCGCGACGAGTGTACCTTTATTCCTCACTTTTTTGGTTTTTTTTTTTTTAACGCGCAGGCATTCACCTTTGCCGCGACAAGTGGCGACCGGCTAATCGCATTCACGCTGGGACACTACCTCGCGCGAAGCCGGCTGGGATTCGCCGGCACGCGTTCTCTACGAAATCGGTGACACGGATAAACAAGGGCGCACAACACTTTCTTTGTCCAAGGCTTCACGGATTTGTGCTAAAGAATAAGCCTGTTCTGGTTGGGGAAATTCTCTTTTGTAGAGAAGCGAAGAATGATGCCGGAGCAAAGCTGAATTGTTTCCAACCAGGCAGTGTAAACGCAGTGACTCATTTCCAGCAACCCCGCCGCGGTGGTCTAGTTAGTGGCCAAAGTACTCGGCTGCTGACACGCAGGTCGCAAGATCGAATCCCGGCTGCGGCGGCTGCATTTCCGATGGAGGCGGAAATGTTGTAGGCCCGTGTGCTCAGATTGGTGTGCATGTCAAAGAACCCCAGGTGGTCGAAATTTCCGGAGCCCTCCACTGCGACGTCTCTCATAATCATATGGTGGTTTAGGGACGTTAAACCCCACATATCAATCAATCATCTGTAGCAAAACCATATTTGCTGTCAGAATGAAAGGACTAAAATCGTGAAAGTTCTTAGAAAGGATGCAGTACATTTACAGCACATGATCGCATCCACGATAACCTAGGCCAAGTATGCTCGGAAGACAGCAGAATTACATTGCCGCCACAAGTTTTTTTTTTTTTACAAGTAAACTGGCCGACAAATGGTTTTAACACACAATCAAGCCCAATCTACAGTGCTTACCAACAAGGCTGAACTTTTGCACCCTTGGAAAACAAAAGTGCGCGAACAGGAGGAAGGCCATTAAGTGCCATCATCAGCAAGTCAGTCCTGCTTGCACTTTCTTGTTCCATTTTTATTACCAGCTTGTCCATACGCTTCTGAGAGGCACTGGGCTCAATGAAATAATAGCCTGCACGTTACATGTTGCAGTGCGTTTTGCATACAGCGTCTATCACCCAGCATGTTAATTCATTTACCCTTGCAATTTTAACAATCGTCATAGGCCTGCTGGCCGGAAAACATCTCGAATGTTCAACAAAGGTCCCCTCAGCAAGTTTTGATGCTGCGTGCAATATATACGAACAGGACTGCTAACTTTCTTCTTCCTAAAATTAACCAATTAGAAAAATTATTTTCATAAACCTCTCTACGCTTAGCAACTCACACTTCCAATGTGCAACCAAATTTTCTAATATAGCCTTGAGAAGATTTTTCAAGGCAATCTTCTCTATCTATTTGACTTCCATTCTATGTGGAATCCACTTTGTGGTAATAGTCAATTACAGCAACAGACAACGATTGGAGTGTATAAGAAGGGAATGGGTAGAAAACGGTCTGTTCTCACTGCAGTGACATCTAAGAGATCACTCCTTTTGTATGTCTGACGGCTTGATTACTGGAAAAACCACGATTTTTAGGGGCGAAGCTCCTTAGGGCGTGGGCTGTGCGTCCCCTGTAGCCTGTATGTAGCCACCTCTAGTTTAGTTCTTGCAGTGTTCACTAGATGGCGGTACCGTCCCCTGTATGTAGCCACCTCTAGTTTAGTTCTTGCAGTGTTCACTAGATGGCGGTACCGTCTCCTGTATGTAGCCACCTCTCGTTTAGTTCTTGTAGTGTTTACTAGATGGTGGTACTTGTAGCTGATGATGAAAAGATGCAAGATGTTATAAACTAGAAAGCGGTACTTGTAGTTGATGAAAGACGCGAGATCTTATAAAATAGGAATGATGTCACATATGGCGCGTGTCGTTGGTTGAAGGCAATCGTTCGATTTAGTGCGGCGACGTACGCTAGGGGGAGCGATGTAATAAAATCGAGTGGGCAAAATGTACAGAGGATTCATGGTTTACCTCCGGAGCTTCGCCCACTCATCATCATTCACTTCGTGGATATGGCGGAATTTTTTTTATTACACTCTATATTCATGCATGTGATCAGCATGTGCAGTGTATGCATGTGATCAGTACTTTAGTCAGGATTTTTGTCCCTTTAAAATGATCCCCCAGTTAAGCATGTGTATACCAAGCATCTGAAGTAAATATGAAATGAAATCTTGATATCCGTAAATACGAGCCACGTGGTTAATTAGTTACATTTTCCCAGCGCAAACTAGTACCCCTGAAGCAACAAGAAGGGTAATAAAACCGATTGCAAGCATGTCACTATTCAATGGCTCGGCATAATGGCTAAATTGATGTGTAGTGGCATTGGCACTGTGCCAGAATACACTTTTTTAGGAAATATGGTAAGAAAGGTTGATTGATTGATATGTGGGGTTTAACGTCCCAAAACCACTATATGATTATGAGAGACGCCGTAGTGGAGGGCTCTGGAAATTTAGACCACCTAATATGGTAAGAAAGGTTGCCTACATTATAACCCCATTGAATTATGCTTCTATGAGCTTGCTACAAAGCAGTACAATGCAAGTGCAAAATTTAGTCAACTTCCTAGGCCTCCTATGAATACAGTACCCGTATTCTCGTAGATTTCAGTGTGTCCCATCCACTTCCTGAATGAAAAACAGACAAGAGTGAAACTGTTCCCATATTACCACCTCCCAAATGCAGATACATGGGCTGTTGTTCGAATGCTCTTACCCTACTCTTGAAGGCTGTGTTTGCTGCACTGGTACAAGCAAAGTTATGGACTCATCAAATCTTCTTTAGCTGTTGCTCTGTCTTTAAAATGCCCACTAAGATATAAATAAATTTCTTATTATTGATCATAAGCATGCATGCAATCACTGTCTCATCGTCAGACTTTCTTGATCACTGATTAACAGAGGGGAATGAAAATACGGCACACAAGAAAAAGGACACAGACACCGGTTAGCAGATAGCCTTTCTAAAATGTCACTTGATGTTGGCATGCTGAGAACAAAGTTTTTAGTTGACTTGTTCCTAAGATTGCAAAATAGTTTAAACAGGTATTTCGTGAACAAAAATATTTCAGTTGCTAGTAGCTTGTCATCTTTGTCCCTTTCCTAATGTGCCAAATCTTGCACTCCTCTGCTTATCATGAACCAACACCAACTCACTCAACTTTTTGCTTTACTGATCTTTCTTGATGAACGCCTCAAGAACTGTGAGTACTCTTTCAAAGGGGTTTGAAAGCCGAAGACCTTTATTTACGTATATTAAAGAATAAAACGTTTGGCACGTCACTTCCGCACTTCTCTAAGAGCGCTGCTGCACAACTACTGCAGAACGATTTCTCACCGGGAGTTTGCTGCTCAGCTGCTGCATGACTGCGTGGCCTGGGTGGCCGTGGATGTGCCCCAGCACCTAGCTCGGCTTGGGCAGAGAGTCTCCGCTCTCGTGGCTGCAGTGGTGTAGGGCAGCAGGGGTGCACCGAGGCTGCCATCACTGACCACGACGCACACGCGCCCGCTGCCACCCTGCCAGCCAAGGGAGGTCCCAGAGTCCTGCGTTGAGACGGGTAGAAAGGTGCAGCAAGCAGCAGCCGAGTCAGCCAGCATACCTGTGACAGCTTGCAATGCTTGTTTCTTTCTTTTTTTATTTTAATACCCACAGCACTAGTACAGGAATTATAACAAGAGGGGGGGGGGTACAGAAAAAGAACAAACATGAAAATTGCAGGTTCACATAAATTTACATTAAAAAGGTAAAGTATTTCACGCAAGACACCAAACATACACAGATGCATCCCAAAATGTCATACGTATTGAGAAAACAAACTAAAAAAATGCACAAACCATAGAAGTTAATGACAATTCAAAGAATAAAACAATGAGCAGCGTCGATCCCGTACAAGGGCAAATGAAACACCAAAACAAAACATCATAGTTTGCAACCAAGATGTGGTACAGATCATGGCAACTGCCAGGTACACACACAGAACTTATAAAGCTTAGTGGCCAAAAGATTCAATCATTTTTATTGGAGAAAAGAACAGAGTTGAAATTTATGAAGGCGGTTCTAAAGGTTCAAGAATACTGCAGCTCTTGCTTGTGTGGCTTCACAGACATGATTCAAGGATTAATAATCTGCAGCACTGGTTCCAAACTTTTGGCCACCACACAGCCCTGAATGATAACACTTTACACATTACTTGAGGAACTCATAAAGAGGCAATGGCATATCCTTCGAAGAACAAATAAGATATTGCAGTACTTCACACAGTGCTGTACACCATTACAGAATCCTGCAAAATTCGTCCCCTGTGAACAAAGAATGGATGGTCACAAGGGCCATGCCAGGCAGCTAACTTTCCTTCTAAGTATCTGTCAACAACGTGTCTTCAAGGCAATGCTCACGGCCTGACCAAGCTATCCAAGGTGTTCTAGTGGTCTACAGTTATGGCCAACAAGCACATGCACTGTAGAGAGTATGCTTCGCCTCACAATCCCAACACGACCATGTCTGAATACGTCTACAGCGTTTTTGACCAGCAGATTTCGAAACAGCCCAGTTCCTGTATGCTTGTACCACTTGGCCACAGAGATAGTGACTCTCTCCAATATTCTAATACAACTGAACTCATTGTTTTGTGACAGTAGAAAATTCAGTGGGAATATGTACAAGCTGCATATAAACATGGTTATTCTTTTACATATTTGTACTATTGTGCTTTAATATACACCTTTCCTAATGGTGAAATCTATTCGAGTTAGGCATAAATACTTATCACAACTAAACGAGTTGAAGAATAAAATATATATGCGGTCTGTTTCGTTAGAAAGGGCTTATTCATATATATTTTTAAAATGCTTCTCATGTCACTGACAACTTGAACATGTAGTCAAGTAAATGACTTGTAAAGCCTTGTAGATGACTGACAGCCTAGTAAACCTCTGAATGAAAGTAATACAATAGAGGATTAGCAGCTGTGTTAGTTTAAAGATATTAAAGGATTGGTAACATATGTTAATTTGTTTCTTTTATTTTTTACATACTGCAGCCCCATTCGGGCTATTAAAGGAGCGAGTTTTCTCTATATTAGCACACACAGAAAGGCAATGCAACTCTGCAAGTAAAAGAGAAAGAAAAAAAAAGGGTAGTGAGCACAGTGAGAATGCAAAATAGTCATTTAGTTGATCTAAATTTAGAGAACAAATTTACAGCTAGAATCCAAATGATTATTACTGAACGAATTGATGTTATTCGGCAGCAGTGCTGAGCACCATCATATGTTGCCTCTGAGTAACTGCTGCACCATTTGAAAGAGCCACCACTAGCATGGGCCTTCCCTTCTCAAAGACAACCTAAATGCTTTCGTCACTCAGGAACAGTCAATTCTTTAATTGATGATCAAAAAACGACCAATTTGCTTTTGAACATTCGCACATTCTCAGGTAGAACATGTGTGTTTGCATGTGTAAGCAGTCTCGCATAGTATAACAGACAAAACACAAGACCCCAATACTCTCACTCGCGCCTCTTCATAAAGGAAATGTCACAACTGGGGAACACCAAACTAACTTATGCCATCTGGGGAACCTTAAGATGCACCCATATCCGTGTGTGAAAGCATGAACAACTAGTAGCTTGACGCATCCATGGCAATGCAAACAAAAACTAACAAAATAACATGTTCCTAGCAAAACAGGCTCGTGTGGGGCTTGTTTTTACCTTCCCTCCCGCGCTACGCTGTCTCTGCTGGTAAATGAATTCGGCTCGAAGTTCTACTTTTGAAAGCCCGCGAACGAGAAATAGCCCGACGCAACAAGTGTAGCGTGACAGTCTCCTTCGGTGTATCGTTTAATTTCGGACAGCTGCCTAACTAGGAACCACAAGAATTTAGATCAGAAGCTACCCCAGTTAAGATTTGCATTGCAACGGCGGCTGCAGACCTGAAGAGTCAGAAGATTTGTGAGCCGAGAGAAGCAGCAGGGGTGAGTCCCCAAACTAGATGAGATGGGACGCGCTGCGCGCAGACAGCACAGAGGGGGGGCCCTTCAAGTGGCTATCTTCGAGCAGTATCTCCGCACCACTATCTGCGGGCCGCTTTCACCCGGGATAGGCGCGGTCGTGCAACTCCCGCTCGAGCGTAATCGCGCCAGAGCTTCCTTTACGGAAAGTGAATCCTCTGATTAGAGTTAGGCGCTACCGTTCGAGAACAGAGATTGGGGGGGGGGGGGGGGTCAACAGCCGTCGCCAGCGTCGAGGCATCGAGCAACCGCACGTTTGTACAGATGCGGGCGTTTGCGAAACCTACGGCGGGTAAACACTGCTGGCCGTACGCCAAGGCGTATGCTATGCATCGCGAAGTCATCAGCTGAGCCAACAATTCTCTGAAGGAAATGCGACGCGCGAAGGCAGCGAGAGGAGCGGCAGCTGAGTACGGCGAAGGCCAAAACGGCTACAGCTGTCCGAAATCGATTTAGCGCACGGGTACCACGTCTCGTTTCCGAACCGACCGTGCGAGGTCCACGAAACTACTGTAATGACGGGGACACTGAGCTGACCACTCTCCTGCGAGCGCGGGTATCTACCACGGCTTGCTAGCGAACGGATGTAACGTGGAAGGGCGGGCTGTTGCTTCTTACCCTGACGTGACCGGTGATGTCCCGAGTGCGGCGGCAGCAAATCCATCACTCACGGCAGCAACACCCGGCCTGTCCCACTGTAGAACTCCGCATCTGAGCAGTTCGCCTGCTTTCCACATAGGTGGAGAAATGTCAGGGCTGAGCCCTTAGCGAGCACGAACTTCCCAAGTCCCACCAGTGCCGAATTGTAGTACAAACTCACTACGGCTGTTGCAGTCTGCAGCACCACAGAACACCGCAGAACTCTCGCGGCTCCTCCTGACAGATCGCTCGCTCTCCGCTCACTCCGCCATGGGACGGAAGTGAGTCCCGCGAGGGCTAGAACCTGTTTCCGGAATAGCGCTTAGTGACACCTAGCGAAAATAGAGAACATTATAAAGCCTCTGAGATTTAGAGGGCCAATATTACCATCTTAGACACTTTAACTACTTTTATTTTAACCGTAAAGTATACAAATAGACGTGTTGAGGCATTGAACTATTTAAATTGATCAAAAATTACCAAAACATCAACTTTATTTGCAAGAGTTCGAACGTGTTCGAAGTAGCGCATTCATTAGTTCTTTAACTGCACTGTTGCTGCACTGTTGCTGCACTGTGTGCGCTTTTGGAATGGTTTTCGAGTGGAAGATGGAGTGAGTTTCCTCACGCATCACCATGACAATAAAATCACGACTCCAGACCCTAGCCTCCAAAATATGTGGGACGCAGCACGCGCTACTCGATGACCAGCGTTGTGGCCTTTTCACGCCAGCTGTTGTTCGAATCGGCGCCTTTGCGCGGCGTCGCCGCGCGGGGTGTTGGTGCTGAAGTACGGCGAGATCTTGGCGCATGGCCAAAATATCTGTTAGTCGACAAACAACTCGACTGCGACGATTCATCGTCGGCGCCGCTGTGAGGAATACAATGGCAATCCGAGCCGCGCTGCTGCTGTTCTTCTGCGTCGCGTTGGTGCGGCTGGCGTCTACAGTGTACGTGACAAGAGCGCAAGACGATGTTGGTGCGTACCTAGTAGCACGTCTCGATAGGTGTCCGTCACCCCGTACAGTACCAAAACGATCGCTGCTTTGTCATCAGCATTGTCGGCAGAACGCTGAAAGGTCAAGGGGTGGCTTAGCAATCGTAACCTAGTTGTGTAGTTTATTTCTACAATTGTAGTTTAATATACCAGCACCGCGTAGTGTGTGTGATCTTCCTCTTTTCCAGGTAGAAGGATATCCGACGGGAGACGCGTGAACGGAAACTTGATACGTGCGATCGTGCGCAGCTTCGAGGTGCTCGCTCGCATCAGCGCTTGTAATAAATAACCCACAGTCAAGTTCGTGCTCGAGGTTAGTCGAGGTGATAACCGCATAAACCTAAGCTCAGTGCATGCAAGCAGTTGGTCACGGTGCGAGTGCTTGCATCACGTAGATACCCGTTTATTATTCAGTCTTAAGAAGCTTACTCAACGACCTGGCAGGCGTTTGAAGTCTCAAAAGGCTTAAAAACAAACAAACAAAAATACACCCTGCTGAAATCGTCAGCCCCATCAAAGGCCCGTGGAGCATTCACTACGGACGCGTAAAGGGTCAAGTTTCTGAAATCAATTTGTTCATTCAGTATCGTCCACCTGAGTCTTGGCCAAACCCCCATAGCACATGCATATGAGCCATTTGTACGAGGAAGACAGACCAACAAGCCACTGCTGCTTACTCGCACAACGTGGCAAAAATGGAAAGTTGTTGCACTTTCTCACAAAATGAAAGATAAAAGCACGGTTCAGAACTGCATGTCACAATCAGAAGTATGTGAATCATATGGGTGCGACACACTTCATCAGAATTATGAATGCTGTGCTTTTGCAGTGAGATATAATGCATGCATATTTAACTAATCCTAATGTCTAGCACAGCTGATGTACACATAAGGCTGGTACTTTGGCGTGTTGGTGTGCCATTAGCACATATAACATTGCACTTAAGCTACTCGGGGAGAAGAAGGAAACGTGAAACGTGCTTCATGCTCAATATATAATATGCACAAGGTCCAACAACCAGCTTTTTCAGAGTGCTACACATGGCCTCCATTGTTCTGTTGGTGATAAGCGATGAAAAGATGAGAGGATTATGAAAGGGAACTGCTTATCGCATTCCAAGTGCAAGCCATAGCAAAAAAAAAAAAAAAACGGATTTTTTCTTTCCCCCCTTTTTTTTTTCGCTTGCCACTGGTGGTGATAATTAGATTAGACATATTTCCTCCTTTTCACAATGCTGCTGCTAGCCATCTATACGATGTTTCTTTCAGTATTGGCGGCTAGTGATGTAAGTGTATGAGATGAGAATTCTGCAAATCATATAGGTTTCTCTCAACATTTTCAAAGTGAGAGGTGGCATTCAATGTGACGGGAAATTGTCATGGAGTGTGGTATGCTTGTATCTCTAGTGGCTTCATTACTACACCTCATCCACTGCATTTTTGTTGGGTAGGGTTGACCTTTCTTCGCCCCAAAATTTTCAACCTTGCATGTGCGCATACATACGCATAGAAAGAGATACACAAATGCACTTATTTCGTTATTTTTATCTATATATAGTGCGACCAATTTTATCTCATTGCAGGCTACTTCTGGCATGTGTCTGACTTCCATGTGGACAAGGACTACACGACGAGAGGAAGTCGTGACCAGGCATGTCACCTTGTCGCGAACCGTACAATCTTGGACAACATTGGGGCCTATGGCGACTTCCTGTGTGATGCTCCGAAACTGCTGGCTCAGTCGGCTGTCGAGGCCATGGAACAGATACATCCGGCGACAGACTTTGTTCTGTGGACAGGGTAAGCCTTCAAGCCTTCATTTCAACTCTTAGGCTTTCCAAACTGAGGCATCACTTGTTAATGGCAAGTCTGAAGAAATGAGAATCTATTGCCCATTTCTTGGATCTGTGTCTCTGTTATTGCAGTGTGCTAGCTACCCTTGCTAGCTCTCTAGTGCTTCGCTTTCACCACTTACTGCTATGTGTATATTTATTGGCTTTGACTCTGACCAACCTCTGATGCTCTGGCCTTCGTGTACATGAAAAAAGAAAAATGTAAGGACGACAAAGAGGAGTGTTTTTATAGAGTAAATGCATATAATAATAATGAAAAAGCACTGCGTTCTATAAAGAAAAACTTCTTTTAGAAAACATTTCAGCTGCTGCAAAGGAGCCTTGTTGACAATAACAGCAAAAATGGCCAGCTGATGTATCTAATATGCATCACTTGTTGTAGGAAGTGTGAGTTTTAGGGCAGACTACCAGTACTCTGTACACAGTAATCTGAATGTGCACAGTAATCTGAATAATCGTCCTTTACAAATGCAGGTGTGAAAAAAGTTTCTTCTGCATGTTGATGGTGAAGGTGTTCTCCCAGTTTATTGCATGTCCAGTGGACAAAACATGCTCTCTGAGGGCATTGGACATCACTGTCTTAGTCCAGCATCATTGCAGCGCCCTTGTAATCTTCTTTCGGTGTTCTGTGTTTCTACTGAGGAATTGTACAGTTTTTTACGGCCTCTGATGTCGTGTACATTAAACATATTTACAGTGACAACCTGCCTCACGTGAGTGGTGTCACTTGGGCCGACATGTACAACGAGACACGTTACATTGGAGAACTTCTCTGGCACTGGGCACAGCGGCACAAGTCATTCGTAGTGCCTACCTTAGGCAACCATGACTGGGTTCCGGCAAACGCTATGGAGGCCAAGAACACCACCCTCTACCGAGGTTTCCTTACCCGCGGTGGCTTCAACCAATTGCTCCCAGAGGATGCTTGGGCAACATTTGAACAAGGCAAGGGTGTTTGCTTTATCACTTGTGCTTTGCAAACGGACTAATCTCTTGGCCTTAGTGGTGCCATCAGCATAACAGAAGCACATGTTTGTTGCCATGCTTCTTATTTGCTTTGTGTGCATTGGTACACTCATCCTGGTAGTTCTCTACAAACTCTTTTTTTTTTTTGCAAGGTTTTAAAGATTAGTTTTAGTTGCGGTTCATAGATTAAGCAAGCGAGGAACTGATTTGGAATTTATTGGCTTCACATTTTGTTCTAATCTGCACTTGTGCATAAACAAATTTGATTCCTTTATACAGTGATGTATGGCTCTAGAATTTTAATAGCAGTTGAACTATGACAATAAGTATGCATTTCCAGCGAAATTAGACTTCTTGGTTGTATAATTCTGTGTTCAAGGTATTGGCTTTCAGCTGTATGTTTGTATCATAGGTTCTTTTACCTGTAAGCTCACTGTGATGTCACAGAATTTGATGGCATCTGTAATTTTTTATCAATCAAGGACAAAATGCAGTGTGATATTAAAGCCACAGACTTACTGCAAGTTTCAGTGAATGTGGCAAACATTGATGAACAAAAAAAGTTTGAAATTCATGACATCATAGTGACAGTGAGTGCCTATAATTTCTGCATGAAGTTTAAAAATCAAACATTGATCTTCATTTTGTCTTCTGGTAATGAACCTGCGATGTCAAGATAAGTGAGAACAGTGTTCTCAAGGAATAAGTTGTCCGTGCAAATTGATTTAGTGCCCTTCGAAGTTGTACACAGACATATGTAATGCAGTATTGCTGGATTCAGCAAAACGAGGTTCCATAGGTTTAATAACTACTGATAGTAATTTTGAAGATCTTACAGGCCCAAATTTATGATATTATTATGATATGATTATACTGTTCTGGAGGACTCTGAAAATTTTGATCACCTGAAATTTTTGCATCATCCACCATGATCTCACATTCACAACACTAGTATTTCACCTCCATCAAAATTACATTTCTGCGGCTGGGATCGAATCCTCGTCTTTCGAGTCAACAGCCGAGCATTGTAACCATTGCACCATCATAGTGACCTATATGTTTAAAAACTCTCACGGTCCCTTTTATGCATTAGCATTCACCTGAGACGGCTCGAGCTATCCTCTTCTTACTTTTCTCAGTTAATTCTCCTCGACCCACCCCAGAAAGCTTTCTGCATCTTCCTGGTTGATACGGTGAACATGGGTCGTGGAAGAAGAACGAGACGGGCACTTATTTTCTCTTACTCTTTGTCCTCGTCCTGTGTTTGCTTTATCAACAAAGATGAACCTGTACCAACTTGCTCAAGCTTCCATTCTTTTTGCATCTAATGTGCTCTAGTGCTGCCTTCAGGATAGGAGACATTGCAAACTTTCTGTACCTCACCCGGTTTTGCACTGCTTCCGTGTCGCACTGCACCATTGATTAAGCAACAATGTCATGTGATAACCTCAAAAAATTTTGGTGATCTCTGGCATCATGATGACGTCATATGTTGGCATTATCATGCGGTGACAATTTTTTTGTTGCGTCACTTTTGTTAATGTTGCTGACGTGCGACACGCCAATGGTCAATTTCTGCATTTGATGGGGCATCTACAGATTTCGATTTAATCACTGTGATCACGTGTCGTGTGCACAGGTGGCTACTACAGCCAACAGCTGTCGAACAAAATCCGTCTGGTGTGCCTCAACTCGGTTCTGTGGTACTCATCCAATAAGGGGGAGCGACCGGGACTCAGTGACCCTCAGATGGCCTGGCTGCGAGACCAGCTGCACGATGCTCAGCAACGGAAACAAAAGGTGTTGTGGAGGACAAGCTGCACATCTGCATTTATCTCGCTTTGCTGTACATCCTGCCAGATTGCCTTGCTTAAGAGATCTGTCTGTGTTGCAAAAATACCTTTATACGGAGAGATGATAGAGAGTCCAAGAGGAATAATTTGTTTCCTTTATGTACAAAGTACTGCAGGCCACTTATAGGTTGTCCAAGCAGAAAGAGTTGCATTTCAAAGAAGTGTATTGTTCCACTGCGGGGGTCTACTGGCTAATTTACTCGGCTGCTGACCCGCAGGTCGCGGGATCGAATTTCGGCTACGGCGGATGCATTTTCGATGGAGGCAAAAATGCTGTATGCCCGTTTGCTTAGATTTAGGCGCATGTCAAAGAACCCCAGGTGGTCCTAATTTCCGGAGCCATTCAATATGTCGTCTCTCATAATCATATGGTTGTTTTGTGATGTTAAACTTTACATATCAATCAAATCAAAATCATCAATCAAAGATCACTGTCATGGTGCTGTGCTTTCAAAATTTATACAACATATTGCATATGAGTTGTTCATTTTGGGGCTGTTTTAATACAAGTTGCATAGCTATATTGTTTATTATTTTTTCTTATTTTGAATTTCCAATTAGCTTTCATTCCCCACACACATGCTTGGATTATCCAAGTGAAGGCTGTTCCATGTCACCTGTCAATTAAGTGGCATCTGGAAATCATAATCACCTGTGATACCAAAATGAGCAATATGCAGAGATTTTGCTAAATTATACCAGACATGCTAGCAAATTTACTGAATAGAAAATTTTGTCCCAAAAAGCAGTTATAGAAAATGGCAGCAAATTTTGTTATGAAATAAACCAAACGGCCAAGTTAAGTGACCACACGAAGTATAATTACTATGCATTGAAATTAATTGGCTCTAGCCACCAGATTGGAGCATTCAATGCCAGAACGATTAGCAGGCAGCTATCTTCCATTCGGAATAGAGCATTCTCCTCCAGCTATTCTGAAGAAACTTTAGTTTTGTTCAGTGCATCATTGCTCCATTTGGCTCAGTAACTTGATGGGGTATTTCCATGGTTTTCACTGCAATCTGCGACAGATATCTGCTGTGGCAATGGGCTTTGAAGATTTCGATAATAGGAAGTGCTAATAGGTGATACGGGATGCAAACAGATCAGAATAATTTTACATTATTGCACCGTAGGATTTAATGCAATAGTATTTTTAAGCACGAGAATTCGCACCTCACTGCACCAACTTAGAATATGAGAATGTTCAAGTAAGCTTGGTTTGTGCAGTTATAATGAAAAAAAAAATGGTGCTTATTTTAGAAGAATTTTTGCCTTCGCTCGTGTTTGTTTAATTGTATGTACCACAGTGTTTGAGCCCTTTATGAGAGACACTGATGTTACAGACAATTTGGTATAAGTGACAGCAGTGTGTCTCCGTTAACTTAGGGGTTGATCTGAATATACGTACATGGTACCCTGCTTACAAGGGACACCTCATGTAAGGGACGAGAATTTTTCCCCCGTGCATGTCTCCTATAAAAGGGTTAAACTGCAATGCTCTCTGTGAGATCGTATGTCCTTGAGGGAAGATTAAATACATTAAATATAAACAAACGACATCAGAACAAAAAAAAAACATCGACTTGTGTCCTATTACAAACTTTATGAACTGCAATCGGTATGAACGTTTATCGTGCTTCGAGCATTCTTTTGACTTGACAACTAACGGGCAATATTTTAGAAATGATAGACACAATTTCTTGCTGTCTATGTGTTGACAGGTGTTCATCTCGGGCCACGTTGGACCGGGCTACTACAGCCGTGCCCTTGTTGGTCATTCTGCATCCGTGGTTTTCTTTGATGACATTAACGAGAGGTACCAGGACATGATTGCACAGTACAAGGATGTTGTGGCTGGGCAGTTCTTTGGCCACCAGCACATGAATGCTTTTGTCATCATTTCAGACAAAAATGGCAAGTGCTTTTTCTGACCTCATATTATCCATAGACGTTCTTCACGGATCCTTTTTTTTTTTTTTCATTTTCTTCCTGGAAATGGACTCATGAGTTGTGTTTAGAAGTGTTTCCCTGAGTAATTGTCGAAAGAAGCTTCTGCACCCCTGTGAAATCAGAGGGTGTTTCACAAAGACTTGCATGGTTCTTTGTTATATATTAGCACTTATAAAAATTGAGACTTCAGTAAAGGTTTTGTAGCATGCTGAGTGTTATGCTTTCAGAACTGTGGCTTCATGTTGAATTGGTGTGGCTGCATTTTAATGTAGCTTCTTAAATATAGACATTTGAAATGAACACATTGGGACACTTGCCTGAATGGCAAATTGCACTTGTAAAAACAAATGTGGTTGTGCTGTGTTTAAAATTTGAACACTGCTTGTCTGACTGACAATTGCATATAGAGTGAACCCTGATTAATGTGTACCTGCTTTTAATGTGCAACGGTTATGAAGCAATTGTGATGAATTCTCTTCATGAGTTTCTATAGAGCTGAATGTACTTGCATACCACTTAAGCCATGGTTACACACAAATGTTAGGTGCATTCATCAACGCGTCATATGGCCGTTGTAACTTAATAAAAGCTTTTAAACTTGCTAATTTCAATCTAGAGGTTGCCACACTCCAATATTTGAAAACTAATAGCAGTGGGGAAATACTTGCAGTAGGCAGCAGTCTGCCCTTCAGGCTCAGGTAGAAAGTGAGATCGCATGAACAGTTTGACAGCTCTTGCCGGCCACTGTAATTTTCCGTGTTCTCAAATCTGTAAATAATCATTGTGAAAAGTGAGGAGTTCTATAAGCGACAATCTTATATATGATGGCATGCATGCAGGCTCGCCGGTCAGCACGATGCATTTGGGTGGATCAGTGACTCCGTGGGGCAGCAAGGACCCTGTCTACCGCACTCTCTCCGAGCCCACAAACCCCTGCGTGCGACTCTACACGTATCGCCGGTCCACCGGGGAACTTCTCGACTACAGCGTCTACTACCTCGACCTTGACAAGGCCAATGCAGCTGCTGCTTCTCAGGTAACTGCCTGCGACTATGTCAGAGCTCGTGCGTTAGCCATCTTTTGGCAGTTACATTAAAATCGTTAAATGGAACCAAAGAGGGCCCGAGAAGTATGTTTCATTTACCAAGAGATGAACAATGTTGCAGAACTCAAGCACGAAACCAAAGGCAGTTGTTCCATATATGCAGTTCCATCTAAGAGACTTCAGTTTATTGAGGTTTACTGTATAAGCAGTCACTGTTTCATGAAATTCTTCTATCTCAACATATCCTTTTGCAACTTCTTCATAATCTCCTCAGCATTGAAATGACTTGTTCTGTTGCGGCACATTTTTTTTGCATTGTATGTGTGATACTTTGTGACAATGCAGACCCATCAATAATATCAATATAACTTTTACATGGTGTGATGCAACTTCCGCCAGTTGTAAGACGTTCTGGTGTAGTGGTGCGGTAAAAAGAAGATCGTGCTAGCTAGTGACAATGTCTTACTTTGCAAGTCTTGCCAGTAGGGGTCGATTGTGCACCCTCAATCGGTATCACCCTTGAAATCACAGGGGTGTCTAGCATTTGGATGCCACTAAGGACAACCATGTCCACAAATCCACAAATGTGCTGTCATGCTGAGCCTGAATAGGTGTGGAAGCAACAGTGCAGATACCTGGTGCATGATGTGCATCTATCAACAAATAAATTCACAATAAGAACAATGTAATTTGCTTTTTTTTTTTCATACAAGAAGGTCAGGTGTGCTATGCACAGCCGAAAAAATTAGACGGTGTAGTGGAGCAGATGCACGGAAATGGCTCGGCCATTGTGTAAGGGCACCACTTAATCAAAATCACAAGAACTCATGTAGGTAGCTGTCTGCCTTTTACTTCAATGTATGTGGCATGGCATGTAGACCTTGAACTTGTGTTGCTCCCATAGTCTCCTTCCATAGCATCAACCTCAACCAAATGCTGTGTGTTTGTGCAGGCTATTACAGTCGAAACGCTTATAAGAGACATGGATGTAAGCGACAGATGGGTATAAGAGACATCAGTGTGCCTGCGCTGAAATAGGGGTTCATAAGAAAGTGCAAACGTGATACCCTGTTTATAAGAGACTCCTCACATAAAAAAACAAGAATTCCTCTTTGGTGCTTGTCTCTAATAAAGAGGTTCAGCAGTATAATCTTGTTAAATGGAACCCGAAGTGCCTAGGAATATGCGTTCAATTTAACAGGAGTTCTGTTAGCAGCGATCAACAGGGGTAAAACCAATCATATTTTATGCAGCTGGATGAAACAGGATGAAACCAATCATGTTTTAGGGAGCTGTTCCATTTAACCAGCAGCTACGTTTTCCATTTACAGCAGCCTCTCAGTAAAAAGAAATCTGTTAAACGGAAGTGCTTTAAATGGAACTATTGCTTCCGCAATGCTTGGTTTCAGGCTTGTTTAATGCACCCTTGTTCACCTCTCAGTAAATAAAACGCCTGTTAAATGGAACACATTTTCCCGGTCCCTTCAGGTTCCGTTTACTGAAAGTCTACTGTACTGGGAATCAACTGTATCTGTTTACAACTATCTTCTATGGGTGAATCTGTAGTACCATGTGCGAGATTCCTGTAATTAGGTCATCCTGTGATCATTTGGAAACATGTTGCAAGGCCTTTGAAAGAAAGTCGCATTCACATGTTTGTCTCCGTTTTTCATGCAGCAACAGGCCAAGTGGGAGTTTCTGTACTCGGCATGTAAAGAGTTTGGGCTGCAGGACCTGAGCACGGCATCTATGGTGGAGTTGGCACACCGAATCACTAGCTCACCAGAACTGCTCACTCGGTACATCAACCTTAGCTCGGCACTCAAGGACACTGGCCCGTGTGACGCCGCCTGCCGCCAGGCAATGCTCTGCGCCATCCTGGGATCCCGCCACGATTCTCACGCTGCCTGCATTTCCCAAGGAAGCAAAGTTCACACTCTTGCCGTGCAGATGGACGAACATGGCAAGAGCACCACGACGGTTCGCGACGTGCTTGTCGGCTTGACGGTGTCCATTGTGATTGTGGTGGGCATTGTGCTGGTGGTGCGTGCCAAAAGGGCACGCATGATGCAGGGACCCCGATACGGACGCTTCAGGTGATGCGTATGCAAAGGTAGACTGTTGAGGTTTATGTTTTGTTGTTATCGTGCCTGTTGGAAGCCTTCAGTTTACCCTTATTACTACTGACACCGTGGCGTGTGACCAACTTTGCCTGCGTCTTGGTCATTTAAAACATTTGTGTTGAATTCGTTGTCACGTTTGTGCGGGACTTTTATTGAAGGCCTTATTTTTGGCACGTTGGCAATATATGGCAATAAGACAAGATATAATGATGCATTAATACAATAATAATGCTTGTGTATGTACTAGCTGTAGAGAACTGAGCCTTCTGGAACTGTGATCAAGCAAAAAGTGATATATGGGCTTGTTTTTGTCAGCTGGCTTGCCAATATTGTAGTGTAGTTTAAAGGCAAACAGACATTTCAATTTACGTTTATTACGCCTGCAGTTTTTTTTGGGGACAATTTACGAAGTGATGTGTTGACTTCATTATATATTTTTCAAGCATCGAGTAGTTTCTGCGACCTGGCTACTGAAAAATAATTTTTGAAATTCCCAGCTACCACAACCAGCTTATTTTGTGGACGGAAAATTTTGGAGCTTATTTTTTATTGCAACAATGAAATAACTAGAAAGTTATGAGTAAAAGGTTAAGGTATATAAATAAGGTCATTGCAAAGAAAAATGCAAGCACTACATGTACAGTCGAGCCCACATATAACGGTCCCACTTAAAACGAACAATATCCGCGTGACCGTGAAAATATACATTGGTTCAATTGTTTTAACGGCACAAAATCGTACTTACAACGAACGTCTCCTAGCGCCGCTGATCGGTTACAGCGAATGAAGTCGGCGCTCTGCCGACTTCCAGAGAAACCACTTTCGATCACCGATCGGGCAACGGCGAGGTGCCCATACATTCTTATTGTTAAACGCCGACCCTGCCTCCGCACCCCTCTAGTTGCTGCTTTCCCCCGACCGCTTTTCGTTACCCGCCCTTCCGTCCTTTGTTCCCCCGCTACTTTGAGCACCCCGCATCGCCAGACGAGGCCTGTGTTTTCACACTGCCACTGATCTTTCGAAGACCGGTCGGCCATCTAACCTGTTTTTGATCGCTAGGTACTGTCGTTGGCGTCGCCGGCATGGAGTGACCAGACCATTTGCCAACATCGTCAGCCACCGACTGTATTCGATCGTCTGCGTCTAGTGCACACGCGTATGCTACCCTACCGACTCTGATAATTGGTGATTCGTTTCCTGTCTAGTACTTGTTCTCGCTCACTTCGTACTCGGCTCAACATGCCCTCCTCCGCATGCCTGTGGAAGCGCGAAAACGGCTGTTAATTTGCGCGGAACGAATCGCGACATATCAAAGTTAGTGAGGCCACGCAAAACCACTGGCGCAACAAAACGATTTTTTGACCCCGGCCGCTGATTCTTTTAACACCGCAGCGCGCACCGATCCATGAGGCCGTGCTTGACTTCTGCGCTGCGCAGGGACTCTTTCAAGTTTTTCTACGTGCGAGTTGCGCGTTTCGCGGAACTTTGAAGCAAGCTACCCAAACTGCTTCTTCCCGTGTGTTTTGGTTTTCTAGGTCGCTCTCCCGCCGCATCCTCCCCTCCCTTTATTCTATTGCAACATCTTGCCCTTCTTTCGCAAATTTGCTCTCCTCTCTTGATCACAACCCCTTCGCCCGTCTCCACCGCTCCTGCGACCCCAGCCACGCTGGCTCGAATTAGTTTCGTTCTCTGACTGGAAATGGGCCCAGAGCTGTTCCACGCGTTCTGGCATGTGTGTCACGTGTGCGCGTCTTGCTTGCTCTTGGTGTGTGTGTGTGGTCAGGATGGCAGACAGGAGGACTTGCACGCTTTTTCCTGCCACTCAACAAAACGTCAAAAGTGTGACCGCTTGTCTTGAACGTAATTCGCGCGTTAGGTACCGCGTTGCAGAGAACTTGCTCATAGCTGTTGACCACCTGGCAGCCAGCTTGCCGCTCCGGGGGTCCCGGTATTCAGCTGTGGAGATGGTTAATATTTCGTGGGCGGCAGTGGCGGCTACAGCACAAAACCGTCTCCGCAAGGCCGACTTCATCGACGTTGGGCCCGATGCCGAGCGTGAAGCTTCTGAACAGGATCACTCCGGCAGCGATTTGTAGCAGCGCGTTGTCGGCTCCAACCTGGAAAGCGGGTGGGACATCTGTTGCGATGGTTTAATTACGGCCGATGATGATGCAGACACTGCGGAACCGTGCACGAATTAGGGCATTGTGAATGAGGTACGTGGCGAGAGCGATTTGGAGAGATCGGATTGCGAGAACGACAAAACTTTGGAGCCAGTGCCTCATGCAGCTTATGCCACGGGCCTCGGCGAACGAGCACCCTGCTGTTCTAAAAAAACTCAAAACCATCCTTGTCGCTTCTGCTCTTCAAAACACGTGCATCACGGACTTTTTCGGACAAAAAAAGTTTGTGTTTTCACTCGCAACTTTTTTAAAAGCTGTGTTTCATTTACTAGGAACTTCGGGATACAGCGAACGGATGATGCTGTCACACTCAGGTTCGTTATAAGTGGGCTCGACTGTACACACAGTATCTTCTTAATGCACATTCAAAAGATCCTTAGTAGAAAGCCTTTTTTTTTTTTGCATATGAGATTTTTTATATTGATTATTACTTTGCCATTAGGAAAAAAAAAAGCTGTTCAGTTATTTTACATGGATTCTCCTTCGATATTTTTTTAAAAACTTTGTTATACTTATAAGTTGTGCCCTCTCTACAATAATTCTAATGGATTGGCATTGTGTACAAAGTAAATAAATAAATAAAGTTTACTTAGTACTAGGGGCTTCAAGACATCAAGTATTTCAGCATTACTGAAAGTTTGTTTTCTTATTATGAAATTGTAATCCAAGATATTGCACATATTCATGAGTTATTCATAAGAATTCAGATACTCCATCATCATTGGCGCATGTTCACTTGAAGGATGCCTTCAAAAACCATCTTGAATACAGACCAAACGTTATGAACTGTGGGCCCATGTCATTTGGCCAGCAGTCACTGTATGCACGGTGCACTTGGGAGTGTAATCAAGGGATTATGTATGATTTTACTGGACAACAGGAAGCTATTCCCTCTATTTGGCACTTGGAGGTGCAGGAACTGAAAGGCACTAGCTGACACACTTGCAACAAAGCGTGACAAGTTTGCGGCACCCTAAACGCACACTTTCCACAACTGCGGGAAAAGGCAGCATTTCTGTGTATAGCTGTAATGCGATTCACGTGGAGAAAATGAAGCGAAATGGAACACAAGCAGAAGGGATGCCAATCATAAGTTAACACTAGTTCTGGGCTGAATTCATGGAAGATTCTCGGGTGAAGAAAAATAAATAGGAAATTACTAAAAAAGGGTATTTGGCCTTTTTCGTTTGCATCTTCCTACTTCTCATCTTTCATGCCAAAATTTTCAGGATTTGTCCTTTTTCCTTTTCATCTCCCTACTTCTCATTTTTCGTACCGAAATTTTCAAGATGAACATATTTGAATGAATGAAGCCATCAGCGAATTCTACTAAATGTGGATACATACAAGCATTTTTAGAAGTAGCAAAAATAGAAATGTGAATTTTCTGATGTTTTGATATCCTTCAGAGTATGCTTCTGAGAGGAGTTGTGGACCTAGCATGTAAATTATTCGTCGAAAAAGATTGTAAAATATTTTGTGTACGGCATTATAGTGACGCTTTTAAATGGGAATACACAATGCTGTAGCCCCGAAACACACAGAGGTAATACTAGCATTCCCTTTTTCCTGACCATTTCAGCCCAGCAATGGAAAAGCTTGCATGAGAATAGTGTTTGCACTTAACTTGTGTACTCGGAAATTTTTTTAAGGCAGTCAGAAAGCTATTCGTTGTGCGTGGTGACTGCAGGCAGAGGATTACTTCATTATTGGTTGACTGTATTGGTGTGTGTGTGCAAGGGCTACAACAAAGGCGAGCCAAGTCTGGTTTGGTACAATGGTACAACAGCATTTGTTGCAGTTGTACAGCCATATTACCAGCAGTGACTGTTGATTGTCATGTATAGTTGTGTTTTGTTAGTATATTTCATCATAAACGTAAACAGTCAGCCTTGTCAATGTGCCAGTGCCTTTTGAAAACATGTGCTAGTAATGCAACGCATTGATTGTCAAGGTAGCAAGGCTTGCATACATACCGGTAGACTCTGGGAGTAGTTAGCACATGAACATTGTTGCTTTGCCATGCAAAATTGATCTAAGATGTCTTGTAGGGAGATGTAGTGCTGGAACAATGGGCGATTGATAGCTAAGTGGCACGTGAAGATACAGTGTCATATGTATATCATAACACTTGCATTTAATGTCACTGTGTGAAACTGGGATTGTTAGTTTCTGGTGTATACATAGTTGAATGAACAGTGTAGACAGGACAAAAAGAGGTAGAATTCCATGCACGTGCGAACACAGTGCTTTAAGTTGGCTCATTCATGAAGGGTCTTGTCATTTTGTGAGAACTGCAGCATCCAAACGAATTTCAGGATCTTAGTTCTTTTGGCAGTGGCATGGCATGCGTGAGAGCTGAATTTTCAGACATTAAATGTACAGGCTATAATTATTGTTTTGTACCCATGTGCAAGGCAAAAGAGTTCTAATTTCTGTGCATCGACAGCAGGTGTTTCTCACGTGCATTACAGTTCATCAGAGTGCATTACAGTTTAGAACTTTTTAAACTAAGTCAACAGTAAAAACCTGTTTGATTTCTGTGAGAATGTTTATGCTTTTCTGATTTATGTACACTGATGCAATAGTGGGTTGTTGTGCATGTGTGCTAAGGTGGAGACTATTCCTGCCAGTTGTTGAAGCTAGTCGTGGTTCTGCAGAACTGCATTGTGGTTTGAATAAGCCCTGTCTAGACTTACCCCAAATGACTGTTTGTTTAGATGTTAGTTGGTAAAATACAGGAAGCATTCAATTAGTAACAGTAGTAGTTTATATATTTGTACATTTGTGATGCTATTTTGCACAGAGAACACTGTAATTTAGTGTTTGTTATAAACATGTTTGTGAATACGAGTATTTGCCCTGGTGTGAAATTCCAAACTACGCAATTTTTACAGCTTTTGCACAGATGGGTCTTGTGCTGGCAGGAAAATGGACAATGATTATGGTACTTCCGAATGTCAAATTTGAGCGCAGCTACATGTGTTTTTTTTTTTTTTTTTTCATTTCTAGGGCCCTGTGAGGGCAGCGGCAATAAGCTTTGGCCTCGACAACACGAACACCACGATGTTCTCAGTAATGACACCCTAGCTTCCCTTTCGGCAGCGCGAACTGCAGGGGCTATAAGATTTTGCTTTGGCAGTGCAGATTGCAAATACTGTAGTTGTGCCATCTCATTGTCTCGTGTGGCATTCTGCTTTTTTACTCACCCCTTCCTCTATCCTTTTGCCATGCTTGCTGTTATTCTTTGCAGTGTTCATTTTCTTGGTTAGGACGATGGACAAGACACACTAACGCACAACACAGGAACGGGCACCTGAGAGCTGTGCTGTACAAATGAAAAATCTGGCATACAGATCTGGTAATGTCGACTGACTGGGTAGCTTTAGTGCTGAAACTCCTCAAGGTCAAGGCTTGCCCGTTGGTGATGTTGGAATACGCCGTAGCCGTGATGGAAATTATGATGATGATGATGAACAATGACTGGCTTGTGCGGCACATGGCATGTTGATGCATGTACTGTACTGATGTTCTGAGGCATTTCGTATTACTGGAAACAGCCAACAACCACCAGGGGAATGTGCACAGACCTCGTCTTTGCCAACTTCAGGCTAGATACGATACAACAAAGCAGTAACAATGAAGGCAGAACGAAATTCACTACTCAAGACAAAATGCCATTTATGACCAATCAACCTTGTACAGTAGACTACTATTCAACGAAACTCTCCTAAATGAAATTGCTGCTTAAATCGAACAACTTCCACTAATACGTTTGGTGGCGTACTTGAATATATACCCCTATTTATCTCTCAATAAAAGAAACTCCTCTTAAAGGAAACATATTTTTCTGGTCCCTTCAGGTTTCGTTTAAAAGGAGTCTACTGTATATATTTGTACACCACTTTGTCACTCAGTCACATGTGTGAATGGTCAATGTCACGGGTGATCAACAGTAATGCCAAATAATCCCAATGCTTTGCCCATTCCTCATCATTAGCTTTGTGGATATGTGGTGTTTTTTTTTCTAATTTCTACAATTGACTAAAGAGCTGATTACCGGAACACAAACAATCATTTGCCTTGTATGCCCATCAGTCGTTGTGATGATGATCTTCACAAAAAAGGTTTGCTTTTCTAAGTAATCGTATAATTGCCTGTATAGTATTGAAGTCAAAGTATTGAAGTATTGAAGTCGAAGACCTGCACGGAACAAGTCTACTTCTTTCATTATGTGACTACGTAGAGCCTGCACTGCAAGCTCAAAATGAGCACCTCAAGCTAACCAGCCCTGGAAGAGCCATCAGAAACGAGCTAGGTTTAAGCAACAAAGACCTGCTTCAAATTCTACCCACCATTCCGCCATGGGAAGATATTACCGTGACAGACAATCGGCCGCTTCCAAAACATGAGCCAAGCCTCGGACAATCAGCGAAAGGCATACTACGCTCTGCGGCATATTGAACACCTTACCTAACGTATACCTAACGAAGAAGATATAATCTACACTGGATGCCTCATGCATTCTAGAAGGTTCCAATACAGGGGAATTTTTCAAGCTGAGATTAGGGGTAGCATCCTCATTCTTTATTAATCAATCCTGCTTACTGCCCGAAGCAGCTGAAGGTTATGCTATTTTGGAAGCTCTAGCCCATTACAATCAAACAGGATCATCGCCAAAAGCTATTCACATCTTCACATATGCGCAGCAAGTGCTCGAAACACTCCGAACTACAAAAAAGCTACCAGCGTACGCCAGGCACATCCTGCACAATGTCGCCCAACTTTAACAGCGATCAGTCCGGGTACGATTTCATTGGATTCCCGGACACACAAATAAACCGGGACACGAGCTAGTTCATCAATGAACCTTGCAGCATCACAGCAAGGAACGACTCGGGGATGCGAGCTCGAAGCATGCCGCAACGATGTCCCAAGATGAGACCCATGAAGGCAACTACCGAGCGAAAGTTCAATGTCGGTGGCAAATAAAAGCCAAATTAGAAGAAGCTACAAAACACAAGAAGAAGCTACAAACACTCAGAAGATTGCAAACACGAAGTTTCACGACAATCCCGGTCCTTCACAAGATACACCCAACAAAGTACTCCGACCCCAACTGTTACTACTGCCACGAGCCAGCAACGACGGAGCATATCCTCTGGCAATGCCCCGTTCATGAATCAAGCCGAGCTGCTTTTATGAAAAAAGCCCAACGTACCCTGCCTCAGCTACAGCAAGACATGGAAGGTACTACCAACTGGATACCTACTTGAAGACCCACTCATCAGAGCCAGGCTGAACCTGTGGTGTGCTGCCTTGCGAAAATAAAGAAAAAAAAAGTGCTGCCTTGTGCACGATCGCCATTCCCTGCCCAGCAGTAACAAGCTGACCAGTTTGAGGTCACCCGAGATTTTTTTTTTCCATGGTGCTGAAGCCAACAAGCAAGAGCACATTGTAAATAGTCCAATAAAGTTTTCAATCAATCAAAACTAGCTGGGAGCCGATGGCAAGAAATTGATCAATGGCCGTTGCTGCTGCAGTGGCTCCCACAGCTTTCATTCTGCTGCCACTAGTACCGGCAGCCGCGCAGTAAAGCCGGGCAGCGTTGTGCACGCAACAGGGACGTGAGACCACAGAGTTTCATAAACTCATTTAAGTCGACTGCAAAACGGTGACGAAGCAAAGTAGATGCACCATCAGGCTACGCTGACTCGGCAACCCGAGGTTCGTTGGGGGCAGACCACTTGGACAGACGCACCTAGCGTCGCAGAAGACGAACCGTTAATTGTTTTTCACTTAATACTGTACTGTTATTCCCATAAGTAGATAATGCGTACTTTCTAAAGAAAAACAAACATGCTTGTTTTCAAGTGTTGTAAAGAATAATTCATTAAATCTTGATGCCAAAATCTGGAACGCAATGGCATAGCGATGCATACCATTGTGGTTGAATTTGCCCAGCTTTCACTTTTGGCGGCTCGTAACGAAAACCTTTTGCAATAATGTTTGCATACAAATAAATGAAGTAAGTTTCAATGAAATGAAAGTTCATATCACTTAGCTTTACACTCGGAAAAGAAGCGCCACGAATCTCAAAAATGTAATCCATCCTAATCACATCTGAAGCCTGTACTTCCCATAATTGACATGGGGGTACAAGTGCAGCTGAAGGCGCCTGCGTAGACACCAGCGCCAGATTCCCCTCTAGGTATTATTATATGAAACTCTAAGCGTGAAACGGTCCGCTTCTGGAGGCGGGTAATTTGAAGTGCGCTAACCCGACGCAGACCGCTAAAATGCGATTTTTATTTCAAAATAAGTCCTTGCTCGGCGCAAAAGTAACACTACAAGGTTTCTGGACCGCTATTTCAACCATTAACGTCGACTTCATAAATGCATTTAGTGTCCCCTTAAAGGCTAACGCCGGCGATTTTTCGAGGTTAATGTAACTCAATGAAAATCGCTGGGTACATTCTTTTGCACATTTTCGTCATTTATGCCAAATTGCAGGCTTGAGAGATGCGCTGATTGTTTGCAAATGAATTTTAAAGATTGCCTTGAAAAACTCACCTTGATTGTCAGAGTTATTGGCAAGACTACCCCGCCGCGGTGGTCTGTGGTTAAGGTACTCGGCTGCTGACCCGCAAGTCGCGGGTTCGATTCCCGGCTGCGGCGGCCGCATTTCCGATGGAGGCGGAAATGTTGTAGGCCCATGTGCTCAGATTTGGGCGCACGTTAAAGAACCCCAGGTGGTCAAAATTTCCGGAGCCCTCCACTACGGCGTCTCTCATAATCATATGGTGGTTTTGGGACGTTAAACCCCACAAATCAATCAAATCAATTGGCAAGACTGTCTGTGTGACGTCATGTTTGGCATGTGAACAGAAGTGACGCAGCCGATGGCATCGCTACTTTGGCTGCTACAGCGTTTATTATGCTGGCCACAAGGCGGCGGTGTTTGGCACGGGTTTGGCACGGGTTCAGTTCAGGCTGTCAAGGTGGATGGACGTGTTTTTTGAGCGCTCCGGATCGACTGCGCAGATAAGTGTTTTTGCATGTTTTGAGCTTGTCTCTATAATTATAAGGCAACGGTTGAAATCTTCGTAGCACTTATTTTATGGTACGGCTTTTTCGGGGGCCAGTCACCAGGTATTTATTAGTTAGTGCGAGTGTGTGTGTTTACATTTTTTTTGTTTTTTTTTTTCTTTTGCCACCCCGTTGGGGAGGTGCGCGTACATTGAACACGCAAATTTTTGTAGTAGAGCTTGGACTTTCTTTTTTTTTCTCGTAGTGCAGGGCTCGAGTTTAGTAATTATCGTGTACAGGGACAATTGGTGTCAGAAAGGCATGGTTAAAAAGACTGTAAAGTGTTCAGGATGTGGAGTGGGTTTGAAAGTGGACCCAAGCGTAGAAGCGGATGGAGAAGAGGCTGACGCGAAGTGTAGGCAATGTGAGGTCGAGGAAAAATTGGAGAAAATGATGGTTGCCCAGAGTGAACTGCTGATGAGAATCGCCAAACTCGAGACTGCGTTGGCGACAGAGCAAGAAAAAACGAGGGCAATGGGAGAGAGACTGAAGTCCGCCGAGGAAGTGCTAGCGAAGCTGAACAAAGAAGCGACCTACCGAGAGAACAGTAGGGAACCGGCAACCAGAACGGTGGAGAAGGAAAAGCAAGCAAGCTTGGAAAAAACAGGTTTAGCCGGTTCAACTGTCGCAAGGCCCAGCTTCAGCGAGGTAGTGGTGGGGCAGGAAGGGAACAAAATAGCCGGCGTCACAGGTGCAAGTAGCCCCCAGGTGCAGAACGCTCCAGCGGAAAAGTCACAGCATGTGATAATCGCCGGGGACTCAAA